TGCATCGAATTTCTGTCTAGTGAATCCTTTACTCTACTGGATGTTTGCTTGCAGTTATCACTCTCATGCGTGCGTTGTCAATTGGCCATAGGTATAGTATCGCACATAGAGAAAATTGATGTATTTATACATTACAATGATATCTCTATACATTAGAATAGTCAACAACTCTACAGAAGTGACACCCGCGTAACTATGAGGTAACAAATAGATTTTGAACAAGTACGATCATCACCAGCTGCTGCTGAAGCTAATAAAGTAGCAATTGGATCAGGATTATGCACTACATCCCAAATACTTCGAAAGGACGCACCCCAACAAAAGAGGTTCTTTACAAGGCCTTTCTTGCAATGGATGAGATTTAATCAATTGATGGATACCAGTGATGGATACTTTCGCAGCATTTTCGCTACACGGGAAGTTTTATTTTCTGACATTTTCTTCAGCACAATCTTTGAAACCATGACGATGTTGCCAGCTCCAACGATGAAAAAAAGCAGAGAGAGCGTGGGCACCTAAAAGGCTATATGTGACAAAAGGAAAGGACATACTAATTGGAGTCAAGATAAATAGACAGTGTAGTTGAAACCGAATATTCGTTTTGAATGAAACATTCGTACATTTCGGTCGAATATCCGATGATATGATACCCAAGAAAACGTATTTATTCGATCTTCGAGTGTTCAAATATTCGAGAAAATGCGTTCGACTATTCGAATGTCGAATATTTCGGGTCAACATTAGAACGTTTGAATTCGAATGGTTGAAACTGATCCTAATAATAATCGGTCGTTTGATCATCTGATATTTGTTCGTTTACCTGCGAAACATTATTGAGGCCGAATATTTGTGTATGAATGGAATACTGGTAACTCGATTATTCCCATATTCGAGTAGTCGAATATTCTAAAACACGCACTTATTCTATACTTCATATGCCCATTTATTCGACTCGAATAGGGAATATCGATTATTCGGATTCAAATTTGTTTCAAACAGCAACACCAATACTATTCATTTATTCGAAAAATT